TCATATGCCAGTCTGGGCAGTCATATGTCTTTTACGGGGGAACCAAATGTGTTAGATAAAGGAGCATCGTTCCGTTTTCCCTTCTCTTTTTTTTTCTAGAGCAGCTCACATTTTGATTCAGCCTCCCTAAAATATTCCTCTCAAAAAGAAAATAATCCCCTGCACCACAGCTTTGGAGATGGTGAAAATTCCTGACATGAGATCTCACTTGGGCCACCAACAGATTTCCACTGACTTTTGAAAAACTCAGTTAATTTCTTTGATTTCCACTATTTGTACTTTGCACATACAAAGGCAGGGGAAGAGCTGTATAGCTTCTTCTTTTGCTTTTATTTGGAGCTTCAAGGACAGTTTGAAAGGAATACATGGGCTGCAAAACTCCCTGCTAGATCTGCAACCTTTAGAAACCCAAGAGTTCAGCTGGAGCCATCTTTGGTAACAGTGCAGAATCTGGCCCCAGGCTTCTGTGTTTCAAAGGAAGTTAATAAGGAAAACATTTCCCCTAGAAAAGGAGAAAGACAACCCATTTAAAAAAGGGAGATAAGGAAGAACCAGGTACCTCTAGGCAGGTCAGTCTCACCTCTGTGCCTGGCAAGATCATGGAGCAGGTGGGATTGAGTTCTCCCTCAGCAGTTTGCTGGTGACACCAGGCTGTGTGCTGGGGTCGACGTGGTGGAGGGAAGGGATCCATCCAGAGGGACCACGACAGGCTTGAGATGTGGGTCTGTGAAAACTTCATGGGAGTTTAACAAGGCCAAGTACAAGGTTCTGTGCCTGGGCACTCCCAAGCACAAATACAGGCTGGATGGAGAATGGATTGAGAGCAGCTCTTATGAGAACAGCTTGGGGATGCTGATAGATGAGAAGCTCAACACAACACAACAAAATCACACTTGTGGCCCAGAAGACTGAGCTGCATCAAAAGCAGCATGATCACAGCTCAAAGGAGGGATTCTCTCTCTTTACTCTGCTCTTGTGGGACCCCACTTGGAGTCCTGTGTCCAGCTCTGATACCCTCAAAAAGAAGGATGTTGTCCCGTTGGAGTCACTCCAGAGGAGGGTCAGGAAGAGGATCAGAGGGCTGCTGGAACACCTCTGTTCCAGCTGTGGGTTTGGGGCTATTCAAGCTGAAGAAGAGAAGTGTTTGGAGTGACCTTCTTGTGGCCTCACAGTGCCTCAACTGGGCTTGCAAGAAGGATGGAGAGGGACTTTTTACAAGGACATGTAGTAACAGGACAAGAGGAATGGCTTTAAGCTGAAAGACACTAGGTTTAGACTGGATATCAGGAAGAAATCCTTTACTGTGAGGCTGATGAGGCACAGGAACAGGCTGCCCAGAGAAGCTGTGGATGCCCCATCCCTGGAAGTGTTCAAGACCAGGCTGGATAGTTCTCCAGCCTAGTGGAAGGTGTCCTTTCCCATTGCAGGGGGCTTGGAACTAGATACCTTTAAGTCCTTTCCAAACCATTCTATAGTTCCTCATCAAATTTGCATTTTCCCCCTTTTTTTGCAACTGGAATCAGAGCTGAGTTTTGCTTACTCCCTGCTGAAGTGAACAGGTTACTATAAAGTCAAAATCTGCTTACATAACCACAGGAAGATCATGTATCTGCTTGCAGCCTTTTGTATCTATTAAACTTAGTTTGCCAGGAAATAAGTAAGAGATGGGGGATCACTCGTGTTGTATTAGTCCACTTAAAGGTGTTTTAACAATTTACTATTTTTTGAAAAAAATTTCTTGTCACATTCTAGTCACATTTGTCCTCCTAGGAACATAAGCTTAATTAGTGTTACTAGTTTTGTGTGCCTAATGTGTTTGGTCCCACCTATTTCACTTGTGAACAGGTTATTTTCAATGACCACCTTAAAAGGAAGTACCTCATTATTATGACTGTGTTGCCTCTTCACTAAATGCCATGATATTTGTCTTTTTTCCGAAGGTGGAAGGATGAGCAGAGTGTTTTGACTGCTTTGTTTTACATGGTGGCACCCCTGGTGTTCCCTGTTATTCACAAACTATAGGTATAAATGATTATGTGGTTTGACCCCAGCTGGCAACCAAATACCAAGAGTGAGCTATCTGCTCACTCCCCTACCCCCACCCTCATGGGATGAGGGGAAGAGTCAGAAAGAAAAGGATCAATAAGATAAGAACAGTTTGATAATTTAAATCAATGGAAATCAAATGAAATTGACTTAGATTAATAACAATAATTGCAATTTAAAGTTAAGTTAAAAAAAAAAAAAAGAAAAAAGGAAAAAAAAAAAAAGAGAGTTCTAAAACCCAAAACAGGAAAGTGATGTACAATACAATTGCTCACTACCCACACACAGATGCCCTGCCTGACCCAAAAGCAGTGATGGGATCCTCTTGATCAGCTCCCCTCAGTTAATTTACTGGGCATAACACTCTATGGGCTATGGAATATCCCTTAGGCCAGTTTGGGTCAGCTGTCCTGGCTGTGCTTCCACTCAGCTCCCTGTGCACCTGCTGGCTGGCTGAGCATGGGAAACTGAAAAGTCCTTAACTCGGGGCAAGCACTACCGAGCTACAACTAAATCACCTGTGTGTTATCAGCCTTATTCTCATACTGAATACAAAATACAGCACTGTACCAGCTGCTAGGAAGAAAATTATCTTAGCTGAACCTAGGACAGTGGTTCCAAAAATAAATAAATAAATAGGTGGTGGATTGTTCTCATTTTATGACTGGCTGAAACTGAAGCCTGTAGAATGGGAGGAAATTTGGTGGCAAATGCCCAGCCACAACAGCCATGTGTTCCCAAAAGGCCATCAGAAATAACCCCATGTACCTACAAATCTGGGGGGTTTTATACATCCCTTGCCAGGTTCCTCCCTGGCTCCTGGGAAGCTGCTTGATAGAGGGGTGGCACCTCTGTTGCAAGATGTACAGTTTTTCTCTCCTTGTCCACGTACCAGGGTGAGACATCTGGCTTCTTTACCTCACTGCTGGGCTTTGTTTTGTTTACTTTCTGATTGTAATATCATCACTTTAGTATGCAGCCTGAGCACACAGGACAATTTTTTCTTCAATTTGACTTTTTTTTTTAATGGTGGGTTTACAGGTTTTATTGCCAATAATAAATATTGCCCTTTTTCTGCACTTAAGTAGGAATCATACATGCAGATGCTACAAAGACATGTAAGCTGGCCACCCTGTCATACAAAGATTGCAGATTCTTTGACCTAATCACTTTCTTTTTTTCTCTGAAATTATCCCGATTTACAGTGTTACCTTAGTTACATAGTTACAGCAGTTTCCCACCTACCCATCCCTTCCTTTCTACTGTGAGACAGTTGCAATTTTTAGAAGAAATTTCATCTCTAAAACCAGATACCAAAGGCCACATGAGAAAAGGATCTGGGGAGAAATGTCTGCTTTTCTGTAAGACAGTACTTCAGATTGGTTGTTACTTTTTCCCCAAGATGTCAGCTTTAGACTTCATTCTCCATCAGCATTTTCACCTTAAATCCTTCTGCAATGTCATTAATAAGAAGAATTTCTTTAGGAGATTTGATCATTTAACGTGGAATTCAGCTATAGTGGTAGTTTTAATCTCATTCCATCCCAAAGGTGATAAATGACTAATTGAGTTCAATACAGGCATTGTTTGTTTGAAGTCTTTGTATTTTCAAGTGTCCTGCAGAGTCAGGCTGAATATACTCTGCTTTTGTCTTAGTCAGGTGCTAAAAATTTCCAGATGCCAGTCATTACAGGGAAAAGCAGTGCTGAAAAGTGTTATTAAGGTTACCAAATTTTATGCTTAAAATTTGAGTAATTGGGAATGCATCATGTCTAAGATCACCTTGCCCACATCTCTTATCTTAGAGCCTGTTGCAGTGGCTGTACGTGGTGGATTGTGCTCCCTTGACGGGCAGATATTCAATACTTTCTGTTTCCAGTGCACATTCTGCAAATGAAATCTACTTTTCTGCTCAAGATACAAAACCTTCTCAGGGAGCTGTGTGTTTCTGGTCTGACTGTCTGCCAGATAAGCACTTCAGTCTTTGAACCCTTCTTGAATGTTGGTCCAACAATCTCAAGCTGCTTTTCCCATTACAGCCTTCCCGGTGAGCTCCGTAACATCCCTCTTCCTTTGCTCCATGGCTGAGACAATGCAGCATCCTCTGACACTGCTTCCAGCCGGCCCTGTGGTGTGTCCCACGGGCCTCTGGCCTCCCTGCAGGCTCATTCACACCTGTATTTATGCGTGACTCTGCACCACAGCACTGCTACCAGGGGTGGAAGCTGTCTGATCCTGTTTCCCAGCTGAGGCGTAGAAAGCACAAGGTCAAAAGGTAGCAGTGATTTCAGCACCTCGTAGAAGCGATGAGGGTGTGATGATTTGGGCATATTTGACAATTCAGAGCATGAAACACACCCACTAGCATTGTGCATTGTCAGCTCCTGCGGCTGGGAAAGCTACAGCATCTCAAATCAGGCAGCAAAAAATAGGAAAAGGAATACAGGATCAGTGATCACTAATATGAGGTTTGGTTTAAGTAGCATGTCACATATGGCACAGGATCTCCTTGATGATCATAAGGACAGAATTTGATCTTTTAGAACAATGATCAGTTGCTTTAACCTTGTGATAAGCTTTTAATTTCTAGTTCAACACCCAGTTCATCCTGCAACATCAGATTCCTGCAGCAAATGGGGCTGCTTTCTCTTCCCCAGTCTTGCCACCCCTACCAAATCCGCTTTCCCTTCCATCTTATCTCATCCCATTCATACAAATTCCTTCTCCCTGGGTTTCTCCTGTGCTGGTGCCTTTCCCCAGGCTGCTCCGTTTCTACAGTCCCAGTCCCCCCTTTCCCCAGCTCCTGACAAATCTCCATCCTTCCCAGTGCCCCCACCTCATCTGCAGGACCATGCCCCCCCTTTCCAGCTGTGCTCCAGTTCTCCTTGCCAGCCCCCTCTCTGCTTGGTGCTAGCTTTCCCTCCCACCTCCTCCCCACCCCAGCTCGTCCGCTCCATCGCCCTTCCCCTCGCCTCAGGTGGGATCCTGCAGGGACGGGGTGGCAGCAGGTGCCACTCCAGCCACCTCCTGTGACAAAGGCAGCGTGGGATGAGCCTGGTTGTAGCACACTGGCCTGGAACACACCCTCTGCTTAGCACAGACCGATGGCTTCATCATCTGAAAGAGCACAGGGGGCCCAGGGTGTACAGAAGCAGCTCCTCACTGCTGTTGACACCTTAATAGTCAAAATAAACACCTGAATAGTCAAATTAAACTAGCTAACAAACCAAAATGGTTACACACACACAGATAAAAGCTGTTTCCTCCTGTACACTGTGAGAACTCAAAGGCTACTTCAATAATAGCAGACACTGTTCAGAAATTTTACAAAATAGTAAAAATGCTGCAAACTGAGAACCTATCAGAGCACAAAGGAATGTGCAAATATGTAAACTAAAAATGTTCATTTTTAAGATATGTCCATTTGTTGCTTTTTTCCTTCTGGTTGTTCTGGTCAGACTCATTTTATCAATGATAGAACAAGAACAGAATGCAGAAAAACTATGCAAGATGGTAAAACCACCAATACACAGGACTTAGTATTTCTAAATACTTGAAAAATCTACTCAAAATTATGACAAAACTATGTGAATTAAGACCATTTTTATCCTCACCAGATTGTCACCCCCTATTCTTTTAATAGCTCTACATTCTGTATTGTGAATTATTCTCTTCTATTGTGAGTTATTCTCTTCTGATGAAGGAATTATCTCTAAAAAAAGGGTCATTACTCAAATGATGGGAAATTTCAAGGTGTTAACCCACTTCAGCTGTTTATTGCATGAACAATAATCAGTGCCCAAATTCACTAAAACCCTGTTAAAACACTTTGAATATGTAAAGCAAGCACTGAGTTACTGCACTGGGCTAGACCAGAACCTAATCTGCTCTCTGAAAGAAGCTGTGTCTGGTCTGGGAGGCCAGGAAATGACCTGAGAAGAAGATGCTTACCTTGATTGCTGAGTACTCCTCCAGTGACTACGCCTGATCAGGGATACAGCCAAGCTCCACAAGTCTCAGTATTCCTCTTCCAACACAGAACCAGGGCAGTTTCAGTGACAACATCACCTTTGCATCTCTGAAATCATATCTCTTGCTCACAGCAGCACAAGTGTGAACAGTAACTTGCCCTCATCTCTTTGGACCATTAATGCCTTGGAATGGCTACCTGGAACAGAGGCTAGACAGAGTTAGAGAATAAAGTAGATGTTTAGTAAAGGCCTTCAACAGACACACCTTGGGCAGTGCAAAGCCTTGCAGAAGCTACACCCAAGATGGATGATGGTCACAAGTTTCCCAGACAAAGTTTGGTCTGCTCGCATGTCAGGAGTTAATTGTCCAATTACAGCTTCAGCTAATGAAGTCATATTTCCCCAGTTTTCTCCTCCCCAGTTCACTTTTGCTTATACTTTTTGGCCCTGAGGCTGTGAGGGTGACCTTGGTTCTCAGGCCTGGAAGGATTGGTATTGTCTGACTAAAATGTGGAGAGAGCTTACTAACACTCTGTATGGAGTCCAGACTTATACATTAATGCAGTACAGGATCTGAAATATATAAAACCCAAAAACTTAAGGCATCACCATAACATCAAAGACAGGTGGGTCCTATTTGTGAAAATTAGAGGTGCTGTAATACAACCTTTAGTCCTTCACAGGTGCATTCAGAGAGTGAAAACAAGTCAGCTAATGGTACAAAGTTAATAAACAGAAGTTCATGTGCATTCAGCTCCTATGCAGATGCCCTCCTTTGGGAATAAAGCCGTTCTCTAAATAGGAGGCTGCACTGAAAACATAACCCACATCTGGAAGAATCTACTCACCTGAGGATTTAACACACTCTGTATCCCGTAGTTTGGGTGCATTAACATCACAGCTTGAGTTGAATGGCTTGGTAAATCGACTGTGTCTCATGTATACATGCTCATGGTACGCTCTGTGTGTGCACCTGTGTGCCCTGTCCCTTCCTCCACTTCTGTTTCTTTAGAAGGGAAGTCTTGGGTGTCAGAACCCTCTTTCAGTGTGTGCATCTGCACTGCCTACCAGTGACTCTGCACAGCCCCATCACCCTGCAGAAGTACAGCCGATACATGTGCTGACCCTGATTCATGCTGGTAACTTCAGGAAACAGCTGAGAAAGCGCCTGGTGTGGTAGCCAGCACACATTTTGCATGTAGCACATCCAAGCCTAAGGGGTGAATTTAAGGCCGAGTTTGGTGTGTGAGATAGCACAAGTGCTGCAGAGAGGCAGGGAAATCACAGACACCCATCGCCACCAGCACCAAAGCTCTATTGTCATTATGCTATCACCATTGCTGTAGCTGATTAGTTCTGCTGACAGGCAAGACTAATTACCTCACATACAGCCCTGTTATCTTCCACCTGCCTGTCCTTAGGGAGTCAAACTAACATTTGTTATCGCTAATAACCTGCAGCCCATGTCACAAGGTGGCCCAGGATCTGTCAATGGTAGCCTGGGATTCCTGGCACCAGGCTCTTGTGTGAAGTAGAGGTAACACCAAGATCCCCCCAAGCATTCCCTAATGGTCAGCAGCAGTGCTTTCCCTTCATCAGAGTCTGCATGCCACCTTTTGTAGTATTCCCAGTGACATAATTTCAAGATGCTGGACAAAACCAAGTTTCCTATTCCTTCTTTGTGTTCTCGAAGTTCCCTTAGACATGATCAGAATTTTTTCTCTGATGATCTATTGATCTAATGTACTGCAGTTTCATTGATATTCCCATGTTAATCTGACTCTTGTCTGGCGTCACAGAAACTTCTGCTTGCTCATGCGGTGTAAATTAGCTTCAGCTCAATTAACCTCTTGACATATGTTGCTTTTTCCAATTTCTCATAAGACTTGGTAGTTTTCCTTCAGAGCATCAGTGCTCAGCTCCTTTGGTGAACACTTCTCTGCATTGCAATTCTTGCTGTTTCAGCAGTGGTTGTTGTGACACGAGGGCACAAAGTCGTGTCACAGCACAGCTTTCTGAGGAAGGCAGCAGGATACCCTGGAGCATGAAAGCCCCTGAACTCTTGGTCCAGAAACTGCACTAGCTCAATGAAAAAAGGAATTAGGGAATAGAAGATCACAAGAGCTAGGAGCCCTGAAAGGAAGCTTGGGAACTTGCATTTCCATTTAATGCCTCTGCCTATATAAGAAGAATTTGCCCCAGCACTGTCAGAGTTAGGTGTGTACAAGATGCAGTATTCTGAAGCAGTTTGCCCTATTCATCTTCATTAGCTCCTTTCCTTTAAATTCCCCCTAATTCAATACCGGGAGCTCCGCTCATTACGGTCAAGAAGGCCATTACTTCATGTGAAGAATACACAGATTTCTAATGCTGTGCTCCTAGTTAATTGAATTCAGTGAATGACAACACCATGACATTGCTAAGATTAATGACTCAATAATTTTTGAGACAAGGCAAAACGTGAAGCAAATTGATTGCATTATTTTTTTTTCCCCCTTGGAAACAGTACTGCATCCCAGCTCAGCACTGTCCTGGAGAGGAGGCTGTGCTGATACAGAGTGAAGCCCAGCTTCCCCTTCTCCATTCCACTCTTGCACTCTGACATCACTTCAAAGTAACTTTTAATGTAATTTCCTAGTTGCAGAGATGCAGACTGACAATAATTGAGCTGAGATCTTGACAGACCAAATGATTAATGCAGAGGGTTTTCTGGAGTGGAAATTTCAGCTATTATTAGATTATTCAAGAGAAAGAGAGAAGGTGTCAGAGCATAGAATGGAGGAGTGCAGTGCCTACATATCTCACTCTTTCAAAAGTATGAATAGATTTTAATTTCTGCCATTTTGTTGGTAGCTCTTATTCATATACTAATCAGTTCTTGCATTAATGTGATGTCAGATGTAACATCTTGTTTAAAAATCCATTTGCGGACAATGAGATGGCTGTTTTTTTCCAGCATGTGGTGTAAGTTGAGACAGCTTTCACACAGTATCTGTGATAGCATCTATCAAAAGAATCTCTGAAAAATGTAGAGAATAGTGTTTGTTGTTGGTCGACACGACCTGCATTTTTTTTTTTTATAAGACAGTCACCAAAATAAACAAGGGTTATAAGTCTAGTGAGAAGAATTACACAGGCAGAGTGGTTTGTTTGTCTGCAGAAGACAGTGACAAAAACAAGTATTCCAGAGGTAGGATTTTGTGAGTTAAGGTGTAGATCAAAAATATTAATGAAAGTATCTTGAGAAAGAGGGAAGACAGGTGTCAGGTAACTCATTCTATTGGCTCCCATGTAGAGTCCAGAAACTAATCACAGATGTTTAGAAGACAGCTTTCATAAGTGGGGTATCTGAGCTTGGGGTGGGATAGCAAAACACTTTTAGCTTTTGCCCTCTACCCTTCAATCCCTCGGGTGAATAGGGAGTGACAGGGAGGGGAGACAGTGGTGGTGACAGCTATGTCTGACAAAGAAACTCCACCTTATGTCAGTAAAAGTTGATTCTGGCACCAAACATAAGAAAAAATAAAAATGAAAATGGCTGAGATCCACAAAGGATCTTTAGCCATAAATATTATTAAAACAGCATGATTTTTATTATTTTCTCTGTTTGTTTTCTAGTGCATTGTTGCAAATATTTTTCCCTTAACTCTCATATGATAGTTGAATTTATCCAGAATCAAGTGACATGTGACACATGTTCCTCAACCAAAGTTTTATGACCTAAAGAGCAAGGGTCCTGGAATGGGTATCCTGCTTCCCAACACAGTCTTTTCTGGAAGACAAGGCAGATCAGGATCACAGAAACTGACCCCCTCCAGGAACTGCTTTCTCAGGGCTTACCAGGAAAGAAAGACCTCATGGAGAACAAGCACAAAAGAAAATTTACAGGCATTAAGAGAAGGAAAGCACAGATGAGCCCTGCGAGTTCCAGAGGAGTGATAACAGTGCCGTAACACTTGTCATTTTTCCATTCATTCTCTGGGCTTCTCTGTTTTTAATCCTAGAGCAGATCCTGCTGTCCAGTGGTGCAGAACAGGCACTGTTGAACCAGAGCCTGAGATAAGGACTGGTTGGCACAGCAGAGCTCCCGGTTCCTCTGGCAAAAAATTGGGAAGTTTTGGCTCCTGTGAGAACTGTAGAAAAGTTGATATCCCTGAGAAATGGGATCCTTAGAGAGTACTTACATCCTTCTGACCAACAGCTAGCTGTCTTACACAAAGGGTTTCTAGATGTAGGCATCTGGGTGATGCTTCAGGAGGAATAATAATGAGAAAAAAAATCTGAATTCAGGCCACCTGCAATGGGATAGGCTTTGAAATTTAATGCAAACCAGTTGTTCATTCAATTTATATTTTGGACATCTGCAGCCAAGGATTTCTTCCTTCTTTGCTGTCTAACTGAAGGAAATGTCATCACTATGATGAGACATTTATATGAATTGCAATTATGATATCTCCCACAGCATGCCTTGTTTTGTAACTGTCAATATTGAAGAGAAAAAAGCACTGTCAGTCTGAAAACAGATCACTTTCTACCTCAATGGCTAAATGTGATCTTGTTTTAGTGCTGTATCATTTACCTTGCTGTCCAACCACAAGCCAGACCTAAGTGCAAAAGAGGTGACGTGACCGAGGAAAACTGCTTCTTTCAATAATGTTGCAACAGCACAGGGAGTTTATGACCCTGAAAACATAAATGTTTACAGTCACAGAACACTTAATAGTTACAAGTTCTGAAGGAAAAAGGGCAAGGGAAAGGTTTCCCTGAGCAATAAATAAACTCAGGGGGTTCAAATACCTTTCAGTATGAGCTGATCATCAGCTCCTACTCCTGCTCCTCAGTTTCTGAGGCTCCATTGCAGAGACAGAACCTGTGAATTCAAGGATTTATGCAGCAATGCTTTCACATGCCTGAGGTAAGGGTCATTGCACACCTACAGGCACATTTCCATAAATACCTACTCCTTCCTTTGGTGTGTTTTCAGCTGTTCAGTCCCAGTTTCAGGCCTGATGGCCTGTCTCTGAGTGGTGTCAGAGGCTCACAAGTCTGACATGAAGTTTACAAGGACTGAAGTTAAAAGACTGCCCTTGCCAATCAGAGTATGAGTGCCCCATTCCAGACATACAAAACCATTTTGAAAGGAATGACTTTTGGGGAGATCATGTCACATGCAAACTGCCATGAATTTATCAATGTCTGACCAGGAATTCCAGCCATCTGAAAGGACTGTTAGCAAAGGAGTTTGCTAATGATCTGCCTGTCTTTTAACCAGAGGAAAAAGCACTTAGTTATAGCCCACAATCAGCAGAAATTGTTCTGGAAATGTTCACCAGTCAGCTGAAGAGTGGCTTTAAGGTATGAGGGAAGCACGGAACATAGGGAGGGAGCAAAGTCTGGCCAAAGGTTTCCCAGGCAAGTAGGGATCTACAAAACCGGTCTTACTCCTTCTGCCTCTGGAGAAATAGGCAGGATGATGACAATGACTGCCCTTGTTAAAAGTCCTGCTCCAACAATAGTCACTGCCTCATGTGCTCTTACTCTCCCCACCTGGCAGGAGCACCAGCAGCAGCAGGTGTTAGTGCCACAGGCAGAGAGCAGCCAGAAGGGAAACCAGGAAAGACCTGAACTAGCGGGGCATGAATCACTTAAAGATGCTGTTCCCTCCTGCCTCCATCACAGCTGGTTCAATGACTTTCCTAAATTGTCCTCTTCCTTCTTTCCCATCTGTTGAAGTTAAGAATTTTGGTAAGTGCTTGGTTGCCAAAGATGACCACCACTAATTAAAGTGGAATCATTAAAGTGGAACCGTGGGCAGCAATTCAGGTAATCTACATGTGATATAGGGGACTCTGGGCTTTATTGTGAGATGAAAGACAGGGACCTCATCCAAGGTTTCTTTGCCCCATTAATCAGCATAAGAGAAAATCTTTCAGCAGTGCTGACACTTCCAGTTTTGGTTTCCTACTAGATTTAGACCAGATGAGACTCAAGTAACAAGACATTTGTGAAAAAAATAGTAATAGTTCCTTCTTATCTTGTAAGTGAGAAACCTGCAGAGGGTCAGCTTCTAATTAAATAATAGTGGTAGTGAAACGTGCAGGTGAAGGAAATACCCAGATGGATTGCTGTATTTTGGTTTTATGTTGCCATGAACCTTCACTGGCTTCAACTACTTTAGATAGGCTGCTTCCCTTTGCTCTTCTCCCTGTGCCAGAGGTTGCTCAGGTTTCTCCTTAGGGACAGGGGATGGACTGCTAGTGTCCTCCAAAGAGGGAGAGGCTGAAGGACTTCC